TGGATATTTGTAACTTGTATAATAAATGTGGTCAATAATAATATGATAACACTAGTTAGTATATTAATGTGAATACTAATTAGTGCATATAGCACCATCGATAATAAATTATAAGTTCTTCCAATACATCTTACTGCATTTATTATAAATTTCTTCCATACATCTAATTGTATTTATTATATGTTAATTAGTGCCCTGAACTACTTGTTAGTAAGATCCATATGTTAACAAGTCTTGTGCACATTTAATTCGTAAGACCCTATAGGTTAACAAGTCTTGTTAGTAAGACACTATATGTTCGTACAGATCAAAAAGTCTAATTAATTCGTTATTGGAAGTTGGTTATGTCAGAATTGCCGCCAGAAAAGACTTTTTGAAAAATTAATAATTAATGAATTTTGTGATAGTTTTATAAATCTATTGCTAAAAATGATAATTAGTAATTTTTTTATGACAAATTTTATGAAAATGCCGCAAAAATAAATAAAATATAGGATTTTGTGGTGGAAAATGTCTCGTAGCTCAAATTTTGTGGCTCAAAAGTGGCTCAAATGGCCAAAACGACGTCGTTTTGGCCATTTTAATGTTGTTCTGTACTCAAAACGACGTCGTTTTGGCCATTTGAGCCACTTTTGAGCCACAAAATTTGAGCTACGTAGCATTGTCGTTTTGTGGTGTACCCAATCTTATTGGTAGACTTTTCACTTATTCCACCTATAATAAATGATTATTAAAGTACAATAAATCTTACTAAGTAGTGTTTTGAGAAATTGATAAAAAATTAACTTCTTAATTTTTTAGCTTATTTTATTTTTTTTGTAAATAAAAAATGTAAGAGGTGACGTGATTCAAAATACGTAAAAAGCTAAAAATTATTATTATAATTTTTTTTTTTCAAAAGTACCCTTAATAAGTTCGTTAATAAAAATTTTGAAATAACATTTAAAATAATAAAATATGTTATTTAAAATAAGTTAACGTTATGCAAATGACAAAAATAAGTTAACTTTACTTTTCATTTAATCTAATTACAAAATATTCCATCTATATTTGATAATTCTTTTCACACATCAAACTTAACTTTCATTTAACATTTAAAGAGTTTTTTATGCTTTAATTTTGGACCGAGAAGAATAAGAATTAATTTTCACTTATTCCACCTATAATAAATGATTATTAAAGTACAATAAATCTTATAAGTAGTGTTTTGAGAAATTGATAAAAAATTAACTTCTTAATTTTTTAGCTTATTTTATTTTTTTTGTAAATAAAAAATGTAAGAGGTGACGTGATTCAAAATACGTAAAAAGCTAAAAATTATTATTATAATTTTTTTTTTTCAAAAGTACCCTTAATAAGTTCGTTAATAAAAATTTTGAAATAACATTTAAAATAATAAAATATGTTATTTAAAATAAGTTAACGTTATGCAAATGACAAAAATAAGTTAACTTTACTTTTCATTTAATCTAATTACAAAATATTCCATCTATATTTGATAATTCTTTTCACACATCAAACTTAACTTTCATTTAACATTTAAAGAGTTTTTTATGCTTTAATTTTGGACCGAGAAGAATAAGAATTAAAAAAAAAAATAAAAATAAAATTTGATTAACAATTATGTTAGCAATTTTTTATAGAAGAATAATTTTTTACCTGGAATATTTATTTTTTGTAATCTTTTCGTTTAAGTCAATAAGAAATGAATTCACAAATTCAAAGAAACTAAAAATTGAAGAGTAAGCTCATATTTTCAGCAGAAATAATTAATTAAAATTGAAGAGTAAGCTCATATTCTCGACAGAAATAATTAATTTTCTTTACTTAAGGTGAAGGATAGAATTGACATTAAAAAATGAGAAAATGCAATAGATCTCAAATGGATTATCAAATATTCTATCAAACCTCTCATATGGATGTGGGACCCACACACATGAGATTTGTATAAGTTCAACACCATATAAGAGATTTAGTAACATATTTGATAATTCATTTAGGATCCCTAATATGACTCTAAAAAATGTGTTGTAGATATTTACGATTAGCATTAAAATTGTAGAAATAAATAATAAATTACGGGTTCATGGGCTACTTATTAACTGTATGTAACTGTATTTATTATATGTTGACTAGTGTAACTGTATTCATGCATGTAACTGTATTCATGCATGTAACTGTATTTATTATATGTTGACTAGTGTCCATGGGCTACTTATTAGCCAGACCTATATTTTTTAGGGATTGGATTCTCACAAGTTGGTCATCCAATTTGAGAGAGATCAACTTAAGACAGTATTTGGATTTGGTAGATCCATATAGATGTCAATCTTGGTAATCTGAATAATTTACTTTTTAAAATTTGATAAGAAGAATAGTCATACAAAAACTAATGATCGGATATTAGTAGTTATATATTTGAATTATATTTATTTTTTTTATTTTTTTATTTTTTATTTTTAATAAAAAAATGGGCAACCATCATAATTTTAAGAATAACCAACCATTTTTTATAATACAAATGTTATTCAAACATATAACTACTGATGCCTGATTATTTTAATTTTTCATATAAATAATCTACTTAATAATTACTAGAAAGTGACGTATTATGAAATCGATCCGAAAATGGGTCTATAAAACCTCAATGCTTTCCGAAATTGCATGGCCAACTTGGGATAATTCAAGGGGGAATAACTGAAAAGTTTTATTAAAAAGATGGTACACCAATAAGTCCTATTGACTTTTGATGCATTAAAAAGTCTTACTCACTTTAATTGTTACTATAAAATTTTATTTTTAATTTTTTTTAACGATGTTTTCATAAAATTAGTTTCACTAATTGTTTGTTTTTAGTGAAAGTTAAAAAATTTGTTACAGATAAATGTCGCCAACTGTCTTTTTTAGCGTCAGATTTAGAAAAATGTCACTAATTATTAATTTTTTTTTTTGCAACAGATTTGATAAATCATCACAAAAAATCACTAATTGTTAGTTTTTTCTTGTTCCAGATTCATAAAATTATCACAAATTTTTTTTTTAGCAACGATACTCTTTTGATTTTTTTTTTTTTTTTTTGATTTAGACAGGCAATTATGAAATTTAATAGTGTACAAGTCGTTATAACAAAATGTGTGAGTAATAACTCATCCATTATACTTTAAGAAGTGGGTTCAGACACTTATTACATTGTAATGAATGCCGAATCATTTGTGGCATGTTATTTAAATGGCGAACCACCTTTAGTTGGAGAAAAACATTATCAATACATGACCTTTCATTTACACCACATTATAGATACATTTATACTTTTTGTGTATTGATATTTGGTGGTGTTACATGAACTAATTAATATATTAATTAGTATAACAACACTAGTTATGATATTATGATTGACCCAATTCATTAATCACATTACGAATAATGTTATATGCACCAATTAGTGTACTAACTAGTGTACCAATTGATGATATAACATAATTTAAGAGGTTTTTGATATTTGTAATGTGATTAATGAGTGTGGTCAATAATAATATTATAATTGATGATGTAGCAAAATTCAAGAAGTTTTTGGTATTTATAATGTGATTAATGAGTGTGGCCAATAATAATGTTATAACTAGTGTTAGTACACTAGTTAGTACACTAATTGGTACATGTAGCACCATCATTTCTATATATATATATATATATATATATTTTTCCAATTCACACTTGTATGCAATTCCCTATTATTTAAAGCCTGGATTTGGATGTCTAACGCTTTCTTACCCATAACACAACGTTGAATATTAAGGGGTTATTTGGAATGTTTTAAAAAAGTACACTTTTTGACTTTTTATGAAATATGAGTTGGATTTGAAGTGATTTTGTAGAGAGGTGATATGACTTAAATAAAATGATATGACTTAAATAGGATAGTGACTTTTTAACTTTTTGACTTTTTTAGAAATGCCAAACCTAGCCTAAGTAAAGATATTAAAAAAACAAAAAAACAAAAATGAACTTCTGAATTTTAAACACTAACATTCACATCCAATGAGCCTAAGTTAATTATTAACCGAAACAATAATGTTTATTTTAAACAATTTTTTTACGATTCTTATGTCATTAAATATGGAAATATGGCTCAATATGTAATTATTAGGACATATTATTCTGGTAGTTCATATATTTTGTACCTTCTGTTATTTTGGTTCTCATGGTTTCAATTGGCTTGATTTTTATCATAAATTTTAAATTTTGTAACATTTTGATCTAGTCGATAATTGAATTTAACAAATTTTTTTTTTTTATACGAAAACTTCACACATCCAACTCCCATGTGTTATTTTATGGGAAAAATAATCAATTTGTCATATTATATCAAACACAATGAGTTTACTCATTTAAAACTCGTAGCAAGTTAACTTAGGTCAAGTTTGACATATTGTAAAAAAGTTATAAAGTCAAAAAGTTACTCAAAAAGTTAAAAATTTAACACTATTCACCAAAAGTCAACAATTACGGCTGCACAACTCTCAATTCTAATTTTTCAACTCTCAATTCGAAATTTTCTCTAAAAATAAATTTTTACAATTTTTTATTACACATTTTCTATAAAAAGTCAAAAAGTTAACCCAAACATCCATATTTTCTTCCTCAATTTTTTAGTCCAAAAAGACAAAAAGTGCACTTATATAGGACCCTCCAAACAACCCCTTAGTTAGCCTCAGTTTGGGAAGCATGTTGGCTTTTTGGCTTTTTATCTTTTTTGACTATTTTAGTTTGGGCTAAAAAGTTTAATTTGGGAAGAAATTTTTGATTTTTTTTGTGAGAAAATAGTGTAATGATTATGGATGGATTGATATTTTGTCTTTTGTGATTAAAATAACTTATTTTGTTTTTTGCGGTTAAAATAACCTCTTTACCCCTTCTGAAAGAGTGCCTTAATTTGTAAAACTATCATATATATATATATATAGAGAGAGAGAGAGAGAGAGAGAGAGAGAGAACAAAAGAAGAAAGAGGAAGGAAAGAGAAAAATACTATTCACTTTCCCTTGTTTGGTTGAGAAGAAAAGTACAGAGAAAGTTCAGGGATTTTTTTTGGATTTATTGTACCTTAAGCATTCAATTTTGCACACAAATTTAAATTTGAAGTTTCCCTCCAAAATTTCTTGATGTTACCAAGATTTTCTCAGGGAAAATTCCTACAAAAGCTCTCTCCTAGAAACAACTTCTCAATAAAGCAGTGTGAAAATGACGCACAAACATATTTGATACCTTGAGAATTATACCAGTCCCAAACCAAACATCACCCATCACCTTCAAGCTATCAAGCTCGATGATGCTAGGAATTGACTTGAAACGACTCTGGAAGTCACTAAGCTGAGAAGAAAGAAGAAAAAGAACATTAAACACAATGATAAAACATAAAACACAAGTTAGAATAAATTTTACCTTTTCAAATTCAGGTCCTAATTCAATTGAAGGATCAGCAAGATTTGTTCTAGCACTGTTTCGGGTTAAAACGCCTTCAGTGTAGGTGTACAGATCTGACTGCATAAAAAACAAAATATGATAACTAAACGTCAAAGCCTAGAATCAACAACCATCATTACGAAAATATAACAATGACAGGACCCACAGTAACCTGGACAACTAGTAAATCTGATGTTCTCGTCATTGGTTGAAAGCAAGATTGTGGAACAGTAACACCAATGGCACGATCAAAGAACTGGCTCAATTATAAACGTAAATAGGAATCAGCATTTAACAATACAGTGTACAAGAAGAATTTGGGGTATATATGATAATTACCCGTATTGCTGAACTTGCTTCTGTTTCTTGCAAGCGAATTTCATCATTATTCACTTTCTGGGAAAAAGAATAACTTCATAAATATCATATATCATTGAGCTTTACCATGCCAATTTCAATAAAAGAGAAAGTGATGACACCTTTGAAACTGGATAATTTTCCATATTCAGTGCATCAGTTTCAACAAGCCCTTTTATGGCCTTCAGATTCACCCACCTGTACAAAATATCATTGATATGGATTTCAAGTATATCTTGAAGCATAAGAACAATTAAACATACTTCACTTACAAGTTACTCGTATCACAAAGTCTGAACTTCTCTGCTGACTTGAATTTAGTAGTCGGGACCAAACACAAAAGAGGATGATCAATTAGAGAAAATAAAAAATGAAGCTACAACAATCTTATGAGGAAACATTTCTCACATACAAATCCAATTTAGCAATGGAAAGAATATAAATATCACAGGGGGTCAGAAATTGGGAGGCAAGAAAATTTCATCTTACACGTTTGTCAGGTAAAAAATCAAATCCATTGTTTCTCCAATACTCATACAAACCACACAAGTTCCATCATCTCCTTCAACTTGAATTCCTGTTAACTAACAAAAGGAAAAAACAAATAATTAATACTAATAATAAAATTTATGGAATAACTAAGCTCAAATTTATGGATTGAAATGAGTCTAGAGCGCATCGAGAATGAGTTCTCATTTAAAGCAACATCCAAGTCATTATACAGTAAACCACATACATCATTAATCCAACACATCCATAAGTAATTCTAATGGTTACTTTATACATGTATTAATTATAACTTTCTATGATTATTTCCGTGAACATAACTGCCTTTTCACTTTTTTCTCCATCAGTATGTCTTCTATGTTTTATTACTAATGTAACTTTTTGGGTCTATTATTTTTCAGTCACAAAATATGCTATGTTTATCATTTTTGTTATAATGTTTAACAGATCATTCAATGTATAAAAATCTTTAACAGATCATTGAATAATTATTTAACAGATCTGTTATTGTATAAGAATTCAATTTTGTTCAATTTTATTTAACAGATCTGCTATTGTATAAAAATCTTTAACAGATCTGTTATTGTATAAGAATTCATTTTTGACTACGGTTAAGCATCATCTTCGGCTTAACTTCGGTTAAGCATTATCTTAGTTTATTTAACTTGTAAATTGCTACAAATTTCAACAAGTGGTAAACGCATTCTTCTTCTCTCTGCCCCCCCAGTGTGAACTTAAAATCCACTTGGGTTCTCATCATATATGTAGTTTCGACCTTGTAGCCGAGGTTGAATTCAAGCCGAGGTTGTCGGCCTTGGTTTCTCTATTGATCTTACTTGGCTCCAACCTGAGTTTGATTTTCGGCCTCACATCGGCGAGTCATTTCTCTTTTCTTGTTCCGACGCCTTTGTTCCCGGCAT